TGGGATCGAGCCCCACATCGGGCTCTCTGCTCAGCAGGGAGCCTGCTTCTCCCTCTCTCTCTGCCTGCCTCTCTGCCTACTTGTGATCCCTGTCTGTCAAATAAATAAATAAAAAAAATCTTTAAACAAAAAAAAATGTAAAACATTTAAATGTATTTTTAAAAAGGTTTCAAAAATCTATGAAGAGTATTTAAAAAATAAATAAAATAAGTATGCTGTCATTTAAATGAAAAATGTTTAGTTTCTTTAAATTTTAAAGAATTCACTTAAATTTATTTTAAAAATCTTATGAATTATATTAAACCAACTATTGTAATATCTTGAAATTTTAAAGCAATTTAAATTTAAAAAACTTTAAAAAATTTTATGAAGTATATTAAATATTACATTATATAATTTATGTTAGATAAATATTTTTTAAAAGTTTAGACTTTTAAAAAATTCTTTGAAACTTACTTAAAAATGTATAAATTTTAGGGGCACCTGGGTGGCTCAGTGGGTTAAGCCACTGCCTTTGGCTCAGGTCATGATCTCAGGGTCCTGGGATCGAACCCTGCATGGGGGGGGGGGGTCTCTGCTCAGCAGGGAGCCTGCTTCCCCCTCTCTCCCTGCCTGCCTCTCTGCCTACTTGTGATCTCTCTCTGTCAAATAAATAAATAAAATCTTTAAAAAATGTATAAATTTTATAAATTGCATGAAATAAGTACTAAGTTATACAATATCCATCAAACGATGTATTACATATGTTTAAGTACATATATATACTTCTATATAGTCAGGGTATAGTTAAATACACAGTCCCTGCAAGAAATAAGTCTGAAAATGTGTGAAGGAACCAAGGCCCCCGTCTCCCTCCTCCCCAGTACAGTGCCCCAGCTGCAACCACCGTTCAGTTTGTGTGTCCTTTTCATTTATTTATTTATGTGCAAATCGATATGGCCATGCAGACTTACGGACTCCGGACTCTGTTGTTCCTCTTCTATGCGACCCACTTTCCTCCCTTACTGTGTGCCGTGGGCGCATCTCCATGACCGCCACGTGCGGTCCTGCCTGCCTCCTTTGCTGGTGGAGGGAGCAGGAGCGGGGACGGGCTGGGTCTCCTGGGTCATTAGTGCTCCAGTATGACGCTCTCGAGGACCGAGGGCATCCGTGTCCGCAAGGACGCTGAAATATCGTGGAGCTATTCAGAAGCTGGAGGGGGCTGTCCCTGTGAGACGCGGACGGGTGCCCCCACAGGGCAGTGACCTAAGGTGGAGTTGCAGCGTGGAGGAGATGGTGAAGGAACCCCTTTGTCTGGAACAGTCAGTTCCTGTGCCTCGTACATCCACCTGAAGTGCCTAGCATGTGTTTCTAGAAGGATACTGTCAGCAGTGGGAGCCTATAACAGGTGTATGGGCGGCCCCGGGGAGACGGGGGGTGGGGTGGGGGGGGCGGTGGTGTGGCAGGTTCTCCTCGCTCAGTCTCTGCCATTCCCTTTAACCACGAAGCATTCATGTGGGTATTAACAGCGCTCATCTCTGACGGCAAAGACGACTCCTTTTTTCTTAATGTTTTTTGTTTGGTTTCTTTGTAATTCTTCATCCCAGACCTGTATTCCTTTTAAGAAAGTTGTGATACAGTATACGTAAAACTTGGCTGCTGTGCACTCGGAATAGTCTTCGAGATTTTGATAGAAATGGTAACATCTGAGAATTAAGTTGGAGAGGATAGACAACATGCGTTGAGACTTCCTACCCAGGCATCTGGGCTGGCTCGCCATCCACACCTCTTTCCGTTTTGGGGTGTGGGAGAGTGGCGGGAGGGGGCTCTCAGCCTTGATGGCTGCCTCTCTGACCCGTGCCCCACCCTTGTCCTTCCCGACAGCCCAACACCGAGGGCATCTGGGAGCTGATGACCGGAGGGGTCTTCTACTGCTTGGGTATGGTGTTCTTCAAGAGTGACGGGAGGATCCCCTTTGCCCACGCCATCTGGCATCTCTTTGTGGCCTTCGGGGCTGGTACCCACTACTATGCCATCTGGAGGTACCTCTATCTGCCCAGCACCCTGCAGGCCAAGGTGTCCAAATGAGACAGCCCAGACTGCACAGGGTTGGAGCATCGCGAGAAGTGTTTCTATGAACTCTGGTCCAGAGCACGGCTCCCAGGCCCATCTGCACGTCCACGGGCAGAGTTTTGATGGGTCGGAGGCTACTCCTGGGAACAGCCAGAATGTCCTTCGGGTCCCAGGTGAGGAAGAAAGCATGTAGTCATTTTGGCAGAGAAGCCATTAACCCTGTAATGTGTTTCTATTCTAGGCAAGTGTTTCCTAATTCAACCAACATTAACATCCACAGAAAAGGGAGCAGACATTGTCCTGGCAGACTGGGGGACCCTGGGCCTGTGTGGGAGTCGGTGGAGTAGTTTGTACCCCACTGGCCAGGGCCTCCTCTGCGACCAAAGTCCTGGCTGGGGGATTGTACCCTGTTCAGGGAAGAGGTCACCCAGCCTGTAGATCAGGGATGGTGAATATCCGTGACCGTAGCAGACATCACCAATCAACTGCAGCATGGCACGGAATCAGGATTCTCCTCCGGGAGGGGCTCTGGGCGGCCACGAACCTATGGACTCATCACTCACGATGGCACCCCTTAGACTCTCCTGTCCAGTGTGCCCTGCCGTGGGAGCACAGCCAGACCATGTCGGGGAGCCTGCTTATCTCCTGCTGGGGAAGCTCCCGGGGCAGGCCGTCTGGGGGGCAGTGAAGGGAGACCGAGGCAGACAGCTCGAGCAGCCCCTGGCTTTCTGCTCTGCATAGCTGCCTCTCAGAACAGAGGAGGAGTGAGTGGTAGGGGATGAGGAAGCTGTTACTTGGCTGTTTCTTCTGCTGAAAAAAATCGAGAGAAAGCATCGGAGCCATTCGTTCCGGGGGGTCTTGCTCACCTGCTCCAGATTTAGGGCTTGTGATGCCAGCATTCGGATTCTTGCTTGGTGCCAAGCAGCAGCCCTTGGAAGCTCCTCCGATGAGCCCTGGAGGGAAGGCCTGGCTAGTTTGATAGGGATTTGGGCAGAGCGTCCCCAGCGTTGGGATACCCCTACCTCTCAAGCCGCTAGTGGCCCCATGACAAGGCTTCCAGGGACCCGTCCTCAGAGCGTCCCCCTGGGCCTGGGCTGGCCCCTCTGTAGCTGATGCTTGGACGTTTACTGGGGAAGGGGATCCAGGCCCAGCTCCTGAGCTGAACGGGAACCTCGGAATCTCTGAATCAAGGATCTGTCAAGGCAGACAGTCCTCAGCCTCCAAGACAGGACACCTTGTGCTTAGTTCTAGTACATTCCAAAAGTATTTCAGGGTTCCTGAAATCCCATTTACCGAAGCCAGTAGGAAATCATCAGACACATTCCTCAGACAGGCGGGTTCTGAGCTGACAGACTCTGGGGGTAAGCTTTGTCTGCTTGCCTTGTGTGTGTGTGTGTGTGTGTGTGTGTGTGTGTGTGTGTGTGTCTACACTGACACACCCAGCCTCGAGAAGCTGCCTTCATCCAGTCTGCCCACCGTCAGTTGGGGTCAGGGTTGGAGGTTGGGGTGGGGAGAGGAAGTTTGTGGGGGAGGGCCCCCTAGAGAGGGGCTTGCCAGTGATGGGGGGACAGGGACACTGACCTGGGACTTCTTTATTGGCCCCAGAGCTGAGCTCCTTCTGTGACACTTGCATCTCCTTCTGCCCCCTCCTTTTGGCTACTTGACTTGGATTTTCCCCAAGACAGCCTGCCCCTTTATGCCCACCTTTGGAGGTGCTGGTTCACCCCCTCATCCACCCATCTTATTCCTACTCATCCTCCAAAGCCCTGCTCAGGCATCAGTATCGAGGGACTTCTGGCCTTCCTCTGACTTAGGGCTTCCCACCTACTTCCCATCACCTCCCCTCCACCCCGCCCCCACGCTTACCTGCATCGAGGCTCGGAACTCTATCCTTCATCACCCTGGTCTTTGCACCTGCCTTCCACCCCGGGAGCTCTCTAAGGGATGAGCTGTGTCTTGCTGGACTTGACATCCAATCTGGCTGCTTCTGTTTGTAAGGGCTTGGGCAAGTTCCTTAACCTCAGCTCTAAGATGGGGATAGTAAGGCAGCACCTTGCAAGTTTGCTTAAAGATTCAGTAGGGTAATGAATGTGAAATACCCAGCCTGGTATTCTGATTAGCTCCTTTAGCTGTCCTTGGGATAATGTCCTTTGATAATGAAGATGACCCTCGTCCAGGAATGTCAGCTGTGCTGGCCAAAGGAGTGAATCACTAATAGTGGAATTTCCGACTGTGGACAGGCTGGTGAGGACACTGCTGTAGGGCCGTGACCACGTTCCTTCCCCTTGGTCCAATTCAGGATGTTTCCCATGAACCTTTTCTCTTCCTCAGCATCATTGTGAAAGTGAGTTTCCCAGCATTCCATTTCACCCAAACCTAGGCCCTGGACCTCCCCCAAAGTGTGTCACCAGCAGTGCAGGGAAGGAAAAGATGTTCCTCAGGCCAGTCCCTCCTGTGGGTAAGTGTTCCAGTCTGTGCGCTGGGCAGGTGGGGTGGAGAGGGTAGGGCACTGGGAACTCAGATGCCAGCTCCCTCTTCCTGGCCACCTTTGAGGCTGTCACATGCTAGAACGATCCTGCAGAGTAGCTGTCATGTCCCAGGGAACCAGGGAGGAGGTCAGAAGGACTCTTCCATGCTCTGGGCTCTTCTGTTGCTGCTCCTGAGTTAGGCAGGCTGGGGGACAAGCCTGGAGGTGACAGCCTGCTTAGCGAGTCCCCCGGCCATCATGAGGGTGGAGAGTCCTGCCTGCCAGCCGGCAGGCTATCCGTGACAGGCCCTGAGGGGAGCTTGCTGACGGCTGTCCCCGGAGCCAGCAGCTTTCAGGCCAGTGGGCTTTAAGCCAACATCACGGACCAGAGCTGCCTTTTTCCCTTGATTGGAAATCGTGCATATGGTGGGAACAGGGCTGATGTCCTTCTTTCAGGCTCAGGCTGGGGAGGATCCTAGGAAAGCGCTGGGCAGGGATGGGGGCAGGATGGGAGTTGCGAGGGGGCCTAGATGGAGGGCCCAAAGCCAGGCTGGTGGTGGGCGGGGGCCTGGCACAGTGGGGTGGCCTGGGGGGCTTCCTGAAAATGCTGTCCTCCTGGGTTTTCACCGCACCAGGCTCTCCTTTCCAAATTCCTCTGCAAATGCTGTGGCGCTTCCGCTGAGCTCCTGCATTTGGGGTCAGGTCCCTGCTGGGAAGCAGGCGTGGGGGACAGCTCAGGTGCTAAGAGAGGCAGGTAGAGCTCAGAGGTCTGGGAAATGAACCTAGGGACTTAGTCAAGAAGGCACTGGTCACCTTCGCCCCCACACACTGCGTGACCACATGCTGAAAGATGGGTTCTGGGAACCACATTGTGGGGTCCCGAAAGAACCTGGGGCCGTCCCACGTGAGTACGCAGACACATACACTCACAGGTATGCTGCAGTGCAGGTGTGAGGGGAAGGAGCAGGAATCTGGGGTGGCAGAGGCTTTACCCAAAGGGCGCCCCTCCTGGGGGCCGGTCTCTGTGCTGGCGGCTTCCTAGATGCTCTTGTCCATTGGTTGACAAAGTCCCCTCTGTGGGGTAAGGTCCATTCACTGATCTTACAGAGCGGGAAGCCAGAGCACAGAGAAGTTTGGCGACTTCCCCAAGGGCACCCAGCGTCCAACCAGCAAAGCTAAGCTTTGAAGCCAGGACTATCTAATCTCTAAGTGTCAGGTCCCATGGCCGCACCACCTGTTTCCAAGGACACCCGCTACCCCCATGTCTGTCCTCCAGGGAGGAATGCTGGGCTGAACATTCTTAAGAATTTCAGAAACAAAACAAAACACTGGTGTGTAGCATTTGCTGATTTTCATGGCATAAATGTTCCCATGGCTGATTTCAAGCCGCTGAGGTGACATCACAGAAGAGGTCTTGGGAGGGGATGCCCCTCTCTGGCCCTTGAAGGCCCGCACGGGCCCGTCTGGCACACCACTGCCCCCACGGCTTCCCTCACTTTCCCAGATCCTCACAGAGCTAGCCAGGGGTCCCTGGGGGACCCTGGCAGGAGGGGGAGTGGGCCTGGCACTGGGCTGCCCAGATGCTCTGTCTGTGGGGTCTGGAACCTGGAGCCAGGCAGACCTGCTCAGGGTCCAGCCCTACATGGGCCAGCTTGCCAGACTCTCAACTCCCTCGGGTCTGGCCAGGGAGCCTCTGCAGGGGTTTGCTGGACCCCAGATCCTGGCTGCCACCTGCCTAGGACTGCTGCTGAGCCAGTAGATCAGGGTGGTGCTCTGGAGTCTGGACACCGGTTCCAGAAGCCCCACTCTGGAGCTCATCTACTTGGAGGCCATGCCCCGCATGTCAGTGCTGGGGTTCCCGAGTCAGAGTCCAGAGGACAGACTCGTGTCCAGGAGCGAAGGACCTAACCATGGCTCTTGCTTTGGGCTATCTCTTTCTCACTTTGTTTCCGACATTCACAAGGTAGGAAATTCACCAATACCCCTTAGCAGCCTGTGTTTCTACACGGGCCATTCCTGAAGTAGATCCCTAATGTTTCATAAGCTCCGTGCCAAGCCCTGGGATTTGTGTTGTCTTTACAACAACTCTGCAAAGTAGGGAGGATCCCCTTTCATCGACTTGGAGACTGAGGCTCAGAGAAGTTAAGTAACTCATCCAAGGGCACACAGCGAGTAAGTGGCAGCCGTGGGCTCTCCCCCACTCCACTGTCTGCTCCCTAAAACACTGGCAAGTCCGTTTTAGGGTTCCCAGCCTGTGGATAGCTGCTGCTGACATGCCGGTGGGCATGTCAACTGGTCTGTGTGCTCTGACCAGTTATACCGAAGGTCTGAGGCTTTGTTCACTAGCCCCCTGTTCAGGTCCATGTTGGAAGCACTGACAGAAGCTTCCACTCAGGCTTTCAAAAGAGGCTGATCTGGGAGAATGTGTAGCCACATGGCATGGCTCCTGGTGGCCGGGAGGCCGGCAGGAGTGGTGCCACCCCCATCCCTGGGCTTACTCCCAGGACATTCTCTGGCCTGAGGCTATCCTGCTCACACAGAAACTGGA